CTGCGGTCATTTTGATCATGAAAAGAGCTTTCCTGGAGCATTTCAGTCTTTGGTAGTGCAACTGAAGCAAACAATCAACTATGGGTGGCAAGGCACTGTTAAAAGATCTCCGGGATAAAGTTGTGGACAGGCATAAGTCAGGAGATGGAGTGGACACAAAAAAATATTCTAAGGATTTATCAATGCCTAGAAGCACAGTAAAGTCTATTATTAAGAAGTGGAAGGTATTTGGTACAACACAGACCCTCCCTGGATCAGGACATCGCTCCAAACTGGATGAAAGATTGGCCTTAACAGATATGTCTGGTGGAAATCCAATACTGCTCACCATCCAAATAACAGAATTCCACCAGTAAAGCATGGAGATGGTAATGTCCTGTTCTCTGCAGCAGGGACTGGAGCAGTTGTCAGGATCGAAGGAAAAATGTATGGGGGGGCAAAATACCATCAAATTCTTGAGGAAAATCTGCTGGCCTCTGCCAGAAAGTTGTCAATGGGAAGAAGGATTACCTTCCAACATGACAATGACCCAAAGCACACAGCGAAACTGAGCACACAGTGGTTGAAGGAGAAAAAGGTGAATGTCCTTGCATGGCCTAGTCAGAGCCCAGACTTAAACCCCATTGAGAATCTGTGGAATGACTTGAAGACTGCAGTCCACAAACATCACCATCAACTTTAACTGAACTTGAGCAGTTCTGCAAAGAAGAGTGCTGGGCAAATATTGCAAAGTCTAGATGTGCAAAGTTAGTAGAGACATCCCAACGGAGGCTGCAACAGGTTGTAATTAAAGCAAAAGTTGGTTCAACAAAATACTGACACAAAGGGGTGACTGTTTTTCCAACTCAGTGATTCGGATTTTTTTTTTTTCTGACATGTTGGTGTTAAATCTTTCACTTGGATGTTTTAAGTTGCACTGAGTAAAGTGCATGATGAAACAAAAACTGTTTCCGTCTTCATTTCAGGCTGCGAACAACAAAATGTGGTTATTTTATAAGGGGTGATTCTTTTCTATACCCATTGTATGTATTTTAAGCATAACACAGAAAACTGAAAAGCGATGTAAACTAGCTTGAAATACTTTTAGAAGGAGCGACTTCTCGTTATACCATCAGACAGAGAGCTCACATAAACATATCTGTCTTACTTACGATCCATTTCAGCCATTACTTCCAATTCATCCGCAAACTGTTGTTCAAAATCATCCTCAATCCCGTACATTTCATCATATTCATCCATGTTTGTGGTCTCTTGTATGTTTTGATAAGAAATTTACAGGTAATCTGACATATAGATAAATAAGTCGCAGAGTGTACGTAAATCGACAACAAAAGTTTTCGCGCAAAATTTTTGCTACGTAAATGTACTTCCGGTTCCATTGTGAAAACCTACATCCGCTCGATAAAAGTCCTGGATGGACAATCTTAAGTCTGTATGGGCTATTGGTAAATTAAATAAATGAAAGAGAACACAATTATTTAACATTTATATTGGAAAGTGACCTGCTTGCGAACTCTAACATCAGCCTTTTTAGAACGGTCATTTTCTACTGTATTTTAATAAAGTCCCTTATAATTACAAATTTACAATAGTTGAAACTGATATGAAATAATGTATCTTCTTAAATACTGTAAGCACTAAAACAATGATATGCATGATAAACAGCCTTTTAAATATATCTTAAATCAAATATGTCATTCCCTCGTTTCCCTTGCTTCTGATCTGCAGACAAACTGAGGGGGCGGGCATTGTGTAAACAACGACAAACAGATTGCCCAATCATTCCGCAAGAACCCGAGTATTTTGCATATGGATGTCCCCGAGCTCTCCGCAGAAAGGGGAGTAAACCCTCCTAAAATGTGAGTTTTTATCATTTTTGAATATGCTCAAGCTTTCCCATAAACAACTCTACGATATAACCAACTTGTTACATAATTAACTTGTTGTCTAAAATGTTTCTACCGTCCCGTGCTTTGATAGCCAGTACCTGACCTATACATTTTGGCATTCAACTTCATTTTAGTATGTTGTCTGGAACAGTATAAAATAAAATTAGATAAATACAGAGAAGAATAGCATGGTCCCTTGCGCAAAGATGACACGTGTAATCGAGAAGCGTATGAAATTTTTATGTTCAAATACCTTAATTTCTAAATGTTCTCGATAATTTCTAGTATCTTTAGCCATATAAAAACAGTGAATACATAAAACAACAAACAATTAGGAGCGATTAGTCTTTTGATAGCTTGTTTGTGATTTTATGTAAAAATGTACAATAAATGTAAAATTATATGCTATTTTTTTAACTTTACTGCAAAGAGAAACAAAAACGCCAATTATTTTATGTTATAAGCAAGCATGTATACATGTAACGTGGGTGTGTGTGTGTGTGTGTGTGTGTGTGTGTACCTAACCATAAAAGTGAGCTAAACCTGACAAAATCTCCAAAAACCTCCCTTTGGGGACGTCCTCATTTGTAAAACTGGTATAAAAATAAAGTAAACAACGTTTTTTTAAATTGTATAAGTTTCCTGTAAGGGGTAGGTTTAGGTGTAGGGTGATATACAGTTTGTACAGTATAAAAACCATTACGCCTATGGAATGTCCCCATTTAGATAGCTAAGTAAACGTGTGTGTGTGTGTGCGTGCGTGCGTGCGTGTGTGTGTGTGTGTGAAATATTCATGAACTGCGGGTTCCTTCTAAAATCATTTGGTGGCCTTGACGCTAAAAATCTTGCACAAGGGGGCAGCAAAGCTAATGGTATGTAAATATATTTTCATACATTTTGAGGTAATTCACAAAATTTTATTAAAACACATTTAAGAACATCCTTGTTTTATTTATTTATTTTAATTTTTTGTTTATTTATTTATTTATTTTCCCATAGTATACACATACTGTATACATGTGTCAAAATAAAGCTACGCTAATATTCACTGGAGTAAAGAGTGTGACAACTAGCCCAGGTCTCCCCTATATTACATTATCAATCTATATGTTGCATTCGATATAGTTATACAGGTCTGCTCGGTATCTGTATAATTCTTTGTTTTAAATAAAAGGTCATACATGTTTCAGTATGTTGTCTTTCTTCATTTTAATTAGGTAATAATAAAATAGTTTGTTCTGATGGCACTAAAATGGCAGAAAATGTTCTTTTGCCCACTTAATAAGCAGAGAGAATGTTCTATGTTGAACTTCGAAAGTAAAAGAAAAAGAGACAGAACAGGCCGTGTTGTCATCAATTGTCAGGGCCAAACTGTTATTGTTCCACGTGTTTTAAAATGACATCCAGTTTTCTCGAAACTCCGCCTTTCAACACAGCGCAGTGAGACACTATTGGTCAGACGCGCTGTCAATCAAACAAACATGGCCGTGCCTTCTAGTTTTCTACTGTATGCTCTTTGATTTGAGTGACATCACCGGTTCCGTCCCAACGCGGAAATGTGCAATATTTGTTATTATAATATAGGATCAGTTGCCTGGCATGTTGCAGACATATGCTGAACCCTAGCGGTACTGTAAGTGATTGAGTATGCCGCTGTGAAGTTTTTTCCGACATTAGTTTAAAATAATCTGATATCTGCAGTGCGGTGTGTGAAATCGTGTTTTACTGGTTTCTCTTTCAGTGCGAGGGAGGAAGTTCAGTCTCTCTCCCAGAATCTCTGCTCTTTGTTTCTACACTGGATGGAAGTCTGCATGCCGTCAGTAAACAGACAGGAGACATCAAATGGACACTAAAGGAAGGTGTGTGTATCTGTAACTCTTACAGACATGTTGGAGTACAGACATATTAGATATAAAGCTAAATGTGATTTTAAAAATACTGGCCTTCACAAGTATAGCCAAATCTGTACACAAACACACACACACACACACTCTCACTCATTCTCAAGAGAACACACACTGTGGGTATTTCTGGATACATATCAGGTAGCGGTTTAAAATAATCTGATATCTGCAGTGCGGTGTGTGAAATCGTGTTTTACTGGTTTCTCTTTCAGTGCGAGGGAGGAAGTTCAGTCACTCTCCCAGAATCTCTGCTCTTTGTTTCTACACTGGATGGAAGTCTGCATGCCGTCAGTAAACAGACAGGAGACATCAAATGGACACTAAAGGAAGGTGTGTGTATCTGCATGCATGTATGTGCATTATGACAAATGATAAAAAAGAATGTTATCATGTTGTAGTGCTGTTTTGTCGCATTAAGACAAACATTTTGTTGTTACAAAATTGTTATTCCATGACATATTTTTAAGAGTAGTGTAATTGCTGTAGTATTATTATCTGCCAAACAACTTCCATAACCATTTCACTCTCTCTCTCTCTTCTAGATCCCATCATACAGGTTCCTACCTATTTCCAAGAGTAAGTGTTTAACAGCTTCAGAAACTGAATTAATGTACACTACCATTTGGGCTCATTAAGATTAAAAAAATAATAATAATTTAAAGTCTCTTATGCTCACCAAAAAAAGAAGAAGAAGTGAAATACATTAAAACAGTAATATTGTGAAATATTATTACTATTTAAAATAAACTTTTTCTATTTTACTTTAAATTTAAAATATATTTAAAATGTGATTGCAAAAATTCATCTTTCATCTTTTCATCTGCCATTACTCCAGTCTTCAGTGTCACATAATCAATTTTGAAAACAGTTATGCTGCTTAATATTTGAAATATGACTTGAAACCGTGAAACCATCATGCATTTTTTTCACCATTCTTTGATGAATAGAAAGTTCAGAAAAACAGCATTTATTTGAAATAGAAATCTTTTTTAACATTATAAATGCTGTTATTGTCAGCATTTATAATGTTTTATAATTTATAACTGCTTTTGATCAGTTTAATGCATCCTTGCTGAATAAATATAATATAAAATAAAATATTAATTTAAAAAAATCAAAAACATCTTACTGACCCCATACGTTAGTGGCTTGATCTTTAATGAAACTGTAATAACTTGCTTTTTCTCTGAATCAACATTTATTAATGACATCACTTAAGCTATTGGATACTATTACTAATAGCCAAAACCCAATTATTTATTGTTTTAAAATTGCACTCAGGTCTCACACCATTCTGGTATGTAATGCCCACTCTTTGTGATCCAACTTTAAAGTTATCTGTTTCCTCTCGAAGGCCAGGCTTTTTGCCAGATCCCAACGATGGCAGTCTGTATGTACTAGGAGGCAAGCGCAAAGAGGGTCTGATGGTGAGTGTCATGGGCAGGGGTGCGAGTGTGTTTGTCAGAGTTACAGCTCAGTCATTTATATGAATCTTCTCTGCAGAAACTCCCGTTCACTATTCCAGAACTGGTCCAGTCTTCTCCCTGCAGGAGCTCCGATGGGGTGCTCTACACAGGTAATGTCAAACACATTTATATTTGCTCGTAATATTTTTGGTGAAATCGGTGTTTGATTTCTGTATTTTGTGGTAGCGATGGTTTTCTAGGGACATTTTATATGAAAAAAAAATTGTGATTTCCAGCTCAGTGTGATCTTTCAAAATTCATGAAAATTAATAAAAGCTTAAAAGTCATGGACATACTAGTTTTGCTGAGCAGTGGGAACCCTGATAGCATGTTCATAAAATGATCTGTGAAAAGCTCCATTCCCTTGAACACTCTCATTTATTGTACTGTGTATATTTTCCCAGGTAAAAAACAGGACACTTGGTTTGTGGTTGATCCTCAGACAGGTGAAAAACAGACGAGTCTGAGCACCTCCTCTTCAGACTCCATTTGCCCCTCTGCCCCTCTGCTGTTCATTGGTCGCACAGGTCCGAACACATATACATAAACCTTGTCTTTGAATCATTCTTGTATTGCACATGTGTATATATAATACACACACACACACACACACACACACACTCACACACACATTTGTGTGTAAGAAAGTAATACTTTTATTCAGCAAGAATGTGTTTAATTGATCAAAAGTGACAGTAAAGACAAAAATTATAAAAGAAAAATATCAGAATATTTTTAAAAAATGTTAAGTGACACAACATTAATAAGAAATGTTTCTTGAGCATCAAATCAGCATATTAGAATGATTTCTGAAGGATCATGTGACACTGAAGACTGCTGAATTCAGCTTTGCCATCACAGGAATAAATTACATTTTAAAATATATCAAAATATATTATATTAAAAATATAAATAAAATGTAAAATATATCAAATAAATTTTTTTAAATTGTAATAATATTTCACAAAATATCTTACTGACCCCACTCATTTTTGATTGGTTGTGATGCATGTTTCCCTGTGTATGTCTGCAGAATATATGATCACCATGTATGATACGAAGACTCAGGAGCTCCGCTGGAATGCCACCTACAATGACTACTCCGCGCCTCTCTATGATGACAAAAAATATGAGTATAGTAGGTTCCTTACCACGCATGCACAGGCCAGTCTATTGAATTTGTGAATGTGTAAGTATGTTAGGGGTGTTTTTCGATTTCATCAAATTTGCATGTGTCTGTGTATCACAGAGATGTCACACTTTGCATCCAGTGGGGACGGTCTGGTGGTTACGGTGGATCGGGACTCTGGTGAGGTCTTGTGGATGCAGAAGTTTGATTCTCCAGTGGCAGGGTTTTACTTATGGAGTCAGGACAGTCTGCGGCGAGCTCCTCATCTGACAGTCTCAACAGAAACCCTGCGTTATCTGACCTTCACTGCAGAAAACACACAGTCCCACACCATGAAGTGGACCTACCAGTTCACAAAGGAGAACCACAGCACTAAGACTCAGCTAGTGTAAGACAGTTTTACAGTAGGTTTTCAAAACCTGTTTATTTAAAGGGATAATTCACCACCCAAAAATGAAAACCTTTCATGCCGAACCTGTATGACTTTTTTAAAAGGCAATTAACTATGCAACAAGTCAATTGACTACCTTATTATAAAGTATTATTTTAAAGTAATAATGTATTTGTGTGTGCATATTTTGATAGTCCTACTCTCTATGTTGGCAAGACGGACTCTCATCTGTATGCTTCTACCTCTCTTGTGCATCAAGGTGTGGCAATTGTGGTAAGTTCTGCTCTCCATTATTCAAAACCAATAGTAAAACTTACTTCGGATTAACCTTATCCTGTTCCCATTTCAGCCAAAAGGTCTCACTCTTGCACGCATCGATGGGCCAATCACAGCTGGCGTCACAATGGGTAATGGGCAGCCCGAGTGTGAGATTACACCCAGCACTGATGTGAAATATCCACCAGGAAGCAGCAGCTCCCTGCAGAATCAGTGGCTGCTGATTGGTATGACCAACTCTTGAACTCTTCAATGCATTTATTTTCATATGTGCAGACACTCTAAATTTTGCTCACTTGCATACTTAAATATGTGTACTTCAAGATGAATACATATGCAATGCTGCAACACCCACAGTTTAAGTTCTAGTTCACTAGTTTCAGGACTGAGGTTTGAATATTTTAGAAAAATGGCCAAAACCATTGGCCTGTGCTCATTGTAAAGTGAAAAGATACAGTACATGCCAATCTGCCCCAAAACTGTTGGCCTAAAGCAGCAATATTTCTCTGTAAATGGATAATGATGTAATTTATTCATTCAAAAACATATATTAATTATATTATATAGAAATTTAAGTTTAATTAAAAACAATGAATATATCAAATAATTAATTAAAAAGATATATTTTATATTATTTGTTATTATATCATTGTCATAAATAAATGGATAAAATGAAAAGAAAGAGCTTTTGCCAATTGCATTTCTTAATGTTCATTCAGTCGATGTGTGTGTGTGTGTGTGTGAGTAGGTCACCATGAAGTCCCTCCTTCGGCTCACACCACCATGTTGAGAGATTTCCCAGAGAATCTGCAGCGCTCTGGTGATGTCATTCCACCTCAAGGTTCTGGTTCTTCTTTCCGTTCTGCCTCTCACCCTGTGAGTCCAATGCACAGTTGACTCAGAAATTAAAAAGTCTGTCATTTATTCACCCTCATGTTGTTCAAAGCCTGCATTATGTTATTGCTTTTGTGAAAAACACATAAAGTGATATTTTGTATAATGTTTGAACTGCTATTTTCCAAAAACTGTCAAAAAGGTAATAATACCATAAAAATACCATAAGAAGTAATCTATACATAAAAGTACCATAAAAGTAATCTATGCAACTTTTGCTTTATATTCCAATTCATAGTGTTAATTTGAGAGCTGTACTATACATTCTTAAATTAAATTGTTAAATAAATTGAGATTTTGAAGACAGCATCTATAGCAACTTTATAATTGGTTGCAGGCCAATGAAAATCTCATGCATGATGAAATTGCAAGCATTCCGAACAGCCAAGCACAAACTTGTCATGTTTTGTTTACAGTTGCCACTGGTAACAAAGCCCAGCACTTCCCCCGTGTTGCCAGACTCCTTGACCTCTGACCCCATGACCGTGCTGGTGATGACACTGCTGCTGGGAGCATGGATTGCCTTCCTGCTAACACACAAAAGGGTGTGTAGTAGAATAAAGCAATAAGCCCCAAGAAGCCGTGGTTTACAGTGAATTTATAACAGCTAAGGGGCGTTGTTAGGCACAACGCGAAGCGGAGTGCCTATAACCCCCTTAGCTGTTATAAATTCACTGTAAACCACGGCTTCACGTGGCTTATTGTTTTTATAAAACGGTTATTCCATATATGTAGTAAGGTTTCACAAAATAAAACAGAGCAAATAAAGTGTAATGATATTAATAAAAACAGTATTCTTCCACCAAACAATGTAGCTCCTCAGAAACAGTTGTGGTTCCAATCAAGTGGTTGCCGAGCAACACACAAATGTAAACAAAGGTGTATGTTTGTAGAGTAATTTTCAACAGCTTCGAACTTGGCTCAACCAATCAGAATCAAGGACCGGAACTATCCGTTTTATAATATAGAATTTGAAGCTGCAGTCTTTTGATAATTTTTATAATCTATTTTTAAATGAATAATTTTAATAATGTACAAAAGATATATATTAAAAATATAAATATTAAATATATTTATAAATAATAATTGATCAAATATTATATG